TAAGGTATCTATAAGAAAGTGTGAAATACTCACATACATGTGATTCAGAGGATGGGCATTTTCTAATTAAGTTCAACTATAAGGAGTAATATCAAAACCATAGCAAAATCGAAATGAATATCACACAATAAAAAAACGACTTTTGGCAAATGCCAGCATCAGAACACACGTAAAATACCACATGGTGTTCTACTGAGTGAACTATCTGAAGTAACATCAAAAGATGTAATGCAGCATCTCCATCTCTTTCAGCTCGTTTTCCCTCCAGTTTTGTTCCCCATATAAATAAACAGTCACTGTCTTCCGAACAAACAGAAACACAGATTCTGCGTCCCTCTCCACAGTCCCAGTTATTACCAAACCCGAGGAAACTTTCGAAGAGATTCAAAGATACTCAAGATTAAAGATTTACTTGTTCTTTTGAAGTTCCAGCAGTGTTTTTGTCTCATTTCTTCGACAAATGTAGCTTGGTAATGGTGTTTTCGCAGTGTGGTTGGTGCTGACCCAGAACTGCCAGAGAGAGGTTGCTGGCCTGACGGCCACGCTCTCATCTCAGCTCCCCTAATGAGGAATGGCTCAGTAATGGCATTGCCTCCTTGTAACCTCAAAGGACGGACAGTGTACTCGCTTGCATTCAGGGTGGTATATATATTATCTTGTGATGTGATGTGAAAAAATAGAAAAGATTAGGTGTAAGCTGGGTTATTAGATTGGCACATGTGGGTGGCTCTGTTTTGTAGTATCTTTTTATAGTCTGGTGGACTATATGTCTAGAATATTTCCTCTCACCTTCTAATCTATATCAAGGAAGCTCTTTTGTGAAATATGTAAATTGATTTTGATGAAGAGATAGTATAGTTATTGTCCTGTACATCTGGCGTCTTTGCCAGTTCTTTTTCTATTGATATGCATCACTGAGTGCAAGAAAACGTTCACCTTTTCTCATATTCGGTTGCACTTATTAGATTTTATAGTCACACGTGTGTTACGATGCTCTGATCTGATGCTTAGATTTCAATTAAGCTTTGAATTCCAATAACGGCTCATTGTTCATGCTTTTATTAGCTGCTCTATCTCTTAGATTCATCAGGCATATCTCACTGTGCTGTGCATCAGTGCATCTCTCTCCCCATCTGCTCGAGGGCCAGCAGAGAATCATACTGCCCCCTAGTGCCCACAGTCATTAGTATCACAACAGAATTGATTGTGCAGCCGTCAACCAGACAACACCCTGGTACTCTGCCAGTGGCTCGATACCAAGTTCTGTCATGGGCAGCGATGCACAACAATAGATTCTACTGATTGGAGTGGTGCACACTCCTGGCTATGACACTAGGCTACCACTCGCTACTGAATGGCTGTTTTTCTCTCTCTCCTGTTACAAGGCCTCTAATTCAGCAATCAATGCCACTCCTTTTAATAGCACCTCTGCTGTTGCCTGGAGGAAAGAAGAGGAGAAATCAGGGTGAGCCAGTGTCAAATCATTCTTCTGAGGTGAAGACCGCAATCATGGCTTTGATGGATCTCTGAAAATGATTAAATATACAGTGTTGCAGTAGAGATATCATGCTGCACAGTGTTTGATCCTGAAACCAGCTACGAATACTTGTTTGAGCACAGTACTATAGAACTTAAAAGTGTGGATTCATATACAAGCATCAACAGAGAGCACACAGACTTGATAATACAGAGAGGAGTACATGAAATCGAGGAAGCCACAGTCAAAAGTATGGAGACAAGGCTGCATATGACCTTCAGCAGCAAACAGAAACATCTTCACCATATCCATAACAATAAAAGCTTGTAACCAGCATCCTATATTCTGTTTTTAGTCAATGTATCACTGGACTTTTCTAGCCCCAAGATGCAATGTGAGCTCAAGCAGCCATAGGCTCCTCTAAAGACATCCTAAGTAAGTGCTCCAAATGACAAGACAGACTAAATACCCCCTAACAAACGATACAAGACTGCAGAAAGCACTTTAACAAAGGAGGTATGTAATGAACCCAAGGTGCCTTCTACCCAATATATCATCCTGAGTGAATTTGCCAACATCACTCTCTTTACCTCCAAGCATGGTAAATGAGAATTTATGCACCCGCTACTTTATCATTCTTTACTTTTTTCACCCCCATGAGGTAGCCATGCCATGCGAGACAGATATTTCCACCAAAGGCAATATCCCCTCACAGTAATTATATCAGAGCAAGAGAATGGCTCATTAACATATGCTAGGCATGTCAGGAATTTACAAGCGCCTTTTGTAGATGCCTCTCGTCAGTGTGCTGCTCCCATCCGTATGGTGTCTCCTTTGAGGATGCAACCTCCTCATTTCCATAGATGTCAATCAAGCTGTGCGTGGTTTTTAGAAACGTTCTGTACAAAAACACAGGGCTCTCTGAATATGGCAATCATAAGGGACAGCCCAGTGATATGGAAAAAGTGTATCTGCACACATGTGGGGGTGCGCCTATGTGTTCTGTGATGAAAACAAAGCGATGGGGGCAAAATTATCTTGATGATGTGCCATCAGTGCCGAGTGGGTGGAGTGACTGTGTTTGCTTTTCTGCAGTGTATTAAAGAGCCATGTGTGTATGTGTGAATACATGCAGAAAGCTTGACACCAGACACCAGACACCAGACCGACTCACAGACAGGTCCTGAGGCCACTGAGCTAGTGGTGCTGCTGCTGCTGCTGCTCCACTGCTTCAGGACCCAACATCTGCTGCCTGCAAGAAGGCACGTACTGTTGGCCTTTCACCCATTAGTATGGTGCCAGCAGATTGAAATGACCTATTTATCAGCCATGCTCATGCACACCCCTTAAACAGTTTTGAATTTCCATTGTGAGGTCATTATGTAAATCTTGTGAATATTTAGTGAAGTTATGTATCATTTATGTTAAAATTTACCCCAGAACAAAATAGTATCTGTTTAATCTGAGTAATGGTAATTAAGTCTTTAAAAAGTTTGAACGTAGATTTGTGAACATACAGCTCTATTCCAGTGCCAGAGGCAGGAAAGCAAAATCTGCAGTGATGTAACCACGCAAAATTTTCTTCTGAAGCACTGTGTGTTTATAATACACCAGAGCTGCACTAAATGGGCAATATGAAATTTTTAGGTTGAAGAAACAACTTTGTAAGCTTATAGGTGTGAAAAAACACTGTTGAATGCAAGTTGCATTATACGTCTATTTAATCAACTGAAGCCTGGTCCTACTGATGAATACTGAATGTTAAAATGTGTTACAGACAACGCTCTGGGCATTACATGATATCTGTTCAGATGTGGTGCAAATGCATAAGCTCAAATGGCAATGTGACCCAGTGGCTCTGCCTGCTTTCCTTTGTTTGCCTGACCCCCAACACATCATCCAGTCAACAGCATTAAGGTCAAGACAGACTGGTGTGGGGCTTAGTTCCGCCACACTGGCTGACTGGGCCACTGACCTCATACTATAACTGGGAGTAAACTACGTAACCTGACGGCAAAAGTAATTTAGGTTTTGTTGAAAATACAAACACTGCACATGCACAGAAGCGGAGCCTTGAAAATTACTTTTTTAGAATGAGTAGGGTGAGTGAAAATGAACAAAAGAAATAATATGGATCAATACGATATGGATCCATTTGCTGGGAATGAAAAAGTGACCTAACAGTGGCATAACAGGAGTTTGACAGAAAACCTACAAAGTGAGATGGAGATAGAGAGAAAAGTCATTTTGTCTTTGAATAAGTGCGGTCTTTTGCCCCAGCAAATGTCAGTGTAATGACTGAAGACCCAATGTCCATTTCCATCACCAACCGCTCTCTCTATCTCTCTCTTTCTTTCTCATTCATTGTCATTGCCTTTTCCCTTTAAGTGCACTTTCGCCCACACCACTTGGAAATTGATTGAAACAAAATGTCACAATTATGCCCTGTAGCTCGCCGCTTCAATTATTCATCAATTAGGGGCTAGGCTCCTTTTTTTCTCTCCTCTGAGCTGATTTTTCATTCAGTTTGCTCGAGATGTATGGCTCCCCTGCTGTTAACCAGTCCAAAGTCATTAGTTTCTGGGTTTGCAATTAAACCTGATGCATTATGCATGAGGCTCCGACTCAGTAGACACACGCAGCAGCGGCCGCAGCAGCTAGCGAACGAGCTAGCAAGCTCTGGAGGCGTGGATGGGAAATTAATTTGCTAGAAATGAAGTTCTCTCTGCCTCTCCCTCTCTCTCTGTCTCTCCCTCTCTCTATCTTTCCTCTTGTCTGGCAGGTTGGAACAGATGCCACTGGCTGGAGATGGAGGTAGAGATGGGGCAGCTATGGAGTCTTTGTGCAGTTTGATCAGCACTAACACGGGAAAAGGATCCCACTAGATTTAAACAGTAAAAATATGTAGGAGATGCACTTAACCACATTGTTTGTTCATATATTATTAGCATTATTGGTTGCATCTTCATATGACCTTTGTGTTGTACAGACCTGGTGAAATTCTCAGTTATATATTACATACCTGCACTAACCAACCAGTGTGAAAAAGAACAGGTGTAGAAGGATTTATGCGTGTCAGGTTTTCTGTAAATCATGTTTGGGTAAACAGTGTATTTTAGGTAGTCATGGTATGTTTCAATGTTTGTTCTGTAAGTGTATGAAAGCTGTAATTAGCATACATCATAAATATACTCTAAATTTAGTAGACTGTGTTAAGCACTGAGACAGGGTCCAACTAAATGTACAAATAACAATGTTCATTTGCTGCCACCTAATGACCACAGAGTAAAATATCATCTATGAAATGTTCTAAGGACAAAAGCTCAAAATGTTGCTGAATACACTTAATTACTGCCAGAAAGGCATTGTCTTGGTGAGGTCTAAAATATGAATATTAACAGATCTGTGTCTGTAGTTCTACTTTTAAAAAATGAGATGAGCAAGTGATTGAGATTATGGATAGTACCTTTTTTTAATGGATGTGTATTTATCTTGTAGCAACACCATAGTAGGAGTGTCCATCTGTATTAAAGCACTTGTATGAACAAAGAAGGGCGCGCACTGGAATAGTCAGTGAACTTCTCATTTTCATGTCCTGCAACACACATGAATGACAAAGCACATTTAATTATATGAGCTGTGACATATTCAACTTATTTTAGCACAATGAAACTGTCATATACTTTTCTAGGTGTGACAGTGAATGATCACAATCATTAAGAAAATCTTTTCCCTCAATGCCATAACTTAATGATTGTAAGCACACACATTCACCGAACCTTCTTCAGACTGATAAAATGCACACACTCCAGCCAGGTGGTGAGGAAAGGGCCTAAACAGAGCGCACAACAGCTGCTATTGGCCAACAGGGCAGTCAGACATGGGTAGTGGGGAAGATTCCTGTGGACCAGAGAGGATCTGTTCCGGTCCTCCAACAAGGCAAATCTTGCAACCAGTTCCTGCGAAACAAAGATTAAACAAGAATAAAGAGGCATTTACTGAATAAACACAAAGACATATTGTGAGATAGTGGATGATAAGTACAATAAGTCTTGGTGTTTCTGCTGTACCTCCATGACAGTTACCTTCAATGTAAGCACCTCCACATCCTGTACTGATGGCAGTGGCTCACAATGCAAAAACCTGTTGCCTTCACAATGGAGCTCCTTCAAGGGCAGCAGGTGAAACTAGACAGGGTCCACCATGGCAGATAGTGAAGTTTACTTCTAGATTTGTTAGATGTTTCTACAACATGGTGGTCTAAATTAGACAATGCTGTGTCTTGTACCTCAATAGGGAATATGGTCAACTTGTTCCCTGCCACATCCATGACCTGGAGTTTCACCAGTGCCTTAATTCCCTGGAGGACATGAAAAGTAGTCAAATTCTACGTTGGTGAGTACAAATAAAGAAAAATCACAAAAACACAAAAGACTAAAAAATAACTCTTTCATTGTTTTTAGGTGTGAGCTGAGGCCAAACATATTTCCTGAGAAGTGACCTACCTCTGGTAGGCTGGTCAGCTGGTTTCTGGCTACATGGAGCCTGGTTAGGTCTTTACACTGGCACAGCTGCTGAGGTAGCCAAGACAGCTTGTTGGATGTCAGGTTTATCTCAGACAACTTAGTGAGATGACCAAGCTCTGCAGGGACCTCCTCCAGCTTATTATCCAGCACACTGAGATGTTGAAGATTACTCAACCTGAAGGGGTTTAAAACATAGAAAATCCACCATATCCCCTTTGTGCCCTTCAAATGACCAATTATTCAAAGATAATGATAGAGATGAAAACGTTGATGATGCCAAAAATGTACCTTTTAATCTCTGGTGGAAGTCTACGAATCTGGTTGTGGTTCAGGTTGAGCACAATAAGGTTTTGTAAGGCACCTGTAAAACACATGACAATTTAAGCTATTGTACAAATCTTCCGAGGTGTTAATGATGCACGATAGTGAGAACCTACCTATCACCTCAGGTGGCACCACTGTAATTTGGTTTCTGAACAGGTACAGTTTCTTCAAGGACTCCAGATGGCCCAAAACAGCGGGAACCTCCTTCAAGCTATTATTTCCCAAATTCAGCTCCGCCAGCTTGCAGCCATTGTAAAAGGAAAAGTATTTAATCACAAACCTGCGTGGTGTGTGAAACATTCAAAGTGTTACAGTATCTTGGCGAACTCACGTGTCGTAGAGAGAGAAGCTCGGCGGGCAGAGTGGTGATGGCGTTGTTTTTCAGCAGGAGAACTGACAGGTTTGTTATTGTGGAAATACACGTTGGGACGTCTTTCATTTTCTTTGAACTCAAATTTAAAGACGTTGCTTTACCATATAAAGCTCTAACCACTGACTCAGCCATTTGCTAAACCACTCTAAGTAACTTTCAAGTTTCCATGGAGACAAGACGCTTTCTGACAAATCAAGGATTTACTGTTGGGCAGTGGGGACCTCTAGTGGTGACAGCAGAGTATAGCAAACATTTAACCAGCATTTATCAAATCATGGAAAATGCAAGGCAATGAGTGTTTGCTTATAGATTGGCATGATAGATGTAGTCCTCCAGAATGGGTGTACAGATTTTTTTATAGGTTTTAACAGTACAGCAATGTGACATGGTAATTGAGCAATATTACATGAGAGGCAGTGGTGTTGTACTGAATATCAGTAGAGGCTGCAGGGGAGTACCTATGACCGAATCACAGCCATGCTGATATTCAGAACGTCACGGCCTCCAGTGTGATATTGCTTTTATACAACAGCTCTACATCGCCATATTAGTTAAATAAGCAACAACAGATGACGATTTGTGTTTGTTTTATCATTTATTTTGCTATATTTGTTAATCAGAAATGCCACTAAACAATCAGTAACACAACTCATTCTCATTTGTATTGTATTTGTTTATGTTACATCGATATGATTTACAGCTTCAACAACTCAGTTCCTTCCAAGAACGCTGCAAAAGTTCAATAACCTCTCAGGACTCTGTTGACATTTTGTTGAGTGACATGCGAGATCAACAGCTCTTCCATGTTCTCCCGCCCAAGTGGATTTGCTTAATAAGTATGTGTTTACACCACTTCATTCCAAAGGAGACACAGGGGCCCCCTGGGGGTCATTAGGATAGACCAAGGGTGTCCAATGTAAAATCATTAACACATTCATTTCCTTTCTATGTTATTTTTTTCATTAGCACAATCCACCCTTTCAAATACGTTTGTATTTAGGGGCCCTTGGTGTGAGTGGTTTTAACACTCTGCACTATACAAACTGGTTTATGTCACACCAAGACTAAGTTGTCACTCAGCTGTCCTCTGCATTAGCTTGATCCTTTAGCCGTTCCACAGAATTGTAGTGCTCTCCCAGTCCATAGGCATGTCGCATGTACCTGCAAACAATAAGAAAATTAGTCAAAATCTCTTAGGTAAAGCTCACCAAATTGTAAAAAGCTATATCAGAGTATGTAATACGGTTTAAGCATATTATACAAGTTTGTCTGTCTACAGCTGCTTTAGTGTGCTGTGTGAGAGCAATGATGTCACACATTCAAATGCAGTTACATGAGGATCCAAAACTGTCATGTCATGTCCTTCATGAACAACTACAGTACATGGTTGAGATATCAATTACTCAAGATAGCAGTAGTTTACATAATTACATATTATATTTGCATTAGGCAAAAATTGCAATAACTGCCTCGTCTGGTTTGCCACAGTATGTCTGAAGTGTCTAATTTAAATGTAATAATTTTAGCTTTATATACTATTATATATGTCTCTACCAATTTTTGCTGTGTAAATATTTTTTTAGTTCAGCGTCTACAGCTTGAACCCCAGACAAATAAAAACATATTAACAACATACACAAGGGTGATAGGTTCACTTTTATATTCCTCCCCAATTTTTACAGCCAGAGAATCAGCCTGGATGACTTCTATTGGCAAGTGGAGAACTTGGGTCAAGGCTCGCAGCTGTTGAGTACAAAAAAAAGAAAAAGAAACAAATTATTAAAAAGAACAAGGAGCAACAGCACAGTGTATCTGTGACACAACTTAAACAACTCACTTCCAGCTGTCCACCCCAGGCTGCTGTGTGCTCCACTTCACTGCAGTATTTCTCAAACTCCTCTGGAAACCAATACACCCACAAACACTTGTAGTACTGCACATAATTACTTTCTAAATAGAATACTTATGGCTGTTTAATCAAAGCAAACATTGTTACCTGTTGTGTACATGTCACCAGTGTTGGGGTTGGTGAGGAAAGGCAGGAAGTCATCAGCATGGCTTCTCATGTGATCAGCAGTACGGGACCGCAGTTCTTTCACACTCATGGTCAACTCAGGCTGAAATAAAGCACAACGCAACATGTACCCTTTGTGTACAAACCCAGTTGAAAGTTGCCATTTTTTTTGCATGCTTATCACATTTCGGATTAGGCATTCAAACCAAAGCTACAGCTATAATACATCTATAACAAAATGTACCTTTGATCGCTGCGCCAGCTGATCTTCAATGGCACGGTACATGCAGTGGCCGTCAGAGGAGATCTCCTTGATCTGAAGTTGTTGCTGGGCGAGTTTCTGAGCCAGCTTCAAACCCTCCTGGTGCCTCACACCCTGCAGGTTCTGCACCTCGGCCTCGGCTATCCTGCTCTCCCTCTCCTTCTCCTGGGCAGCCTTCTTGTCCTGGAGAGGATCATTTAAAATGTATGTAATGAAGTTGAAGATGGGTTAGGCAGAGTCACCGTTACAAAACCCTACAATTCAGAACGGATTTCCATTTGGTTATGTGGGATGTTTCTTCATCTTTTCAGTGTGCGTTAATATCCAACCACAAAATCATATGTCCTTTTCTTAATATTGAGACGGAGGATGGACTGGTTTCTGATTATGGACATTACTCTGGGTTAACTGATAAGATTGTTGTTTAATTGCAAATCATAGATGAAATATTAAGGCATAATTAGTAACCATACTGCTGTCTAAGGTACTGGCATTATATTATTAAGAATGTGGTGTTTTGGGCATGGGAATTGTGGGAAGAGAGTTACCATCCTTTGCACACTGACTGTCAAATGCTGTTGGCAAAAACAGACGGCAGTTAAAACTGTCTTGTTTGAGGAGAAACCTGTAACTCACCCTTCTCTTCTGGGCCTTTGTTACTCGTGGCTGTTTGAGCTCTTCTTGTTCTCCATCCTCCATCTTCATGGTCTCAACTCCATTTATCACCTGTTCCACCTTGAAAAATTAAGTGAGCAGAGCTTCGGTTATGTCGCAAATTGACATTAATGTAATAAACAGACGTGATATAAACATGAATAATGATGATGATAATGATACAAATGTGAAAAATTAAATTCTGTGCATACTTTGCTCAGTGCCTAAACACATTTGCTTCTTTTACAGTGTAACTCTAATACATAGCCATGATATTTGGCAATCATTTGGATGCAGGTTTTTACCTTTGTGTCATTTGTAGATTTAAGTTGCCCGAATTCCTCCTCGTGTTTTTGACTGAGGTCAGCTTCCAGCTTGGCAATCTCCTCTGTCATCTGTTTCCTCCTTTTCTTGTCATTTTTGGGAACTGCATTTTTCATGCTCTGGATTTTAGCTGAAAATTAGCACAAAATAAGCACAAGCATAGATTGTCTGACAAAACAATATTTTGATAAAGCTGACACACACACTAAATACAGAATACAGTTCTCAGATGATACTGGCATGTGGTTTAAAATTAGATGGCCAAAATAACCTGAATGAAGAGGGATACAGTCAGAGGTGATACTGATGCTCCTTAATGTTCATTTATTGGTTAGAAGAGATAAAAGTAAACATCCTTCTTTAAACCATGAATTAAAGTAATATAGCCTATGTAACATGGCATAAAGAGACAAATAATACAAAGCTGATCAGAGACAGGTACTCATTAATATATAGCCACAATGTAGATACCAGTAGATGAAAAATAGATGCAGATATAAATATATACAAAAAGCTACAATGAACAACAGCAAACAATTTCTAGAGACAAGTCAAACATTGTAAATTGCAAACAACAGTACAATAGTGCAACGGTGCAAGAGTGCTGGAATAAGTAAAAAGCTTCTAGGAAGTGGGAGTAGAATTGAGTGTAAAAACAGGGCATGAATATAACTTTCAATATTATTTCTCATCTGGCTACACCACTGTCTGTGATGTGTGTCACAAGTGGTATTTTGCCTTTAACAGCTGGTTCAGGAAACATATATTAACTCCACTTAGGTCTTGAGGTATGGCTACAGTTGTAATCCATAGAGACCTGTGCTGTGATGCAGCAGTTTTCTACCCTATGTGACTCTCTCTCTGGGTTTTATCCTCAAACTAAACTCCTTGTGAGCCACTAGCGATGGGCTAGTAAATACCTCAGAATGACTTGAATATTATTCTAGCTGTGGATCCTTCATGTTGCCCACAACTGTCTCTTATTACATCACAGGTTCTACTACTGCAGCTAGTGGCTAAAATGGCCTGAATTCAATTCAAATCTAAAACAACACATTAGATGAAGACAAACTAACACCAAAGGCCAAGTTTTACTTAGACAGTTAAAAAGAATGTAAACAGCTGAGGTTAGCTACCTTGTAGATCTTTCTTTTCCTTGCGGTGCTGCTTTGCCAGCAGCTCCTCTGGCGTCTCCACTAACCCCTCCTCCATGACTGGATGCTACTGCTCACTTTGTTCAGTAAGAGTCTTTGCGAGCGACATGAAACCGACGACAGTTAGACAAACAAAACGTTATGATGTCCCAGGTATAAAAAATGGCACATCACTGACACGAGATAAAAATATATACTCTGCAATAAATAAAGCGTGCTGATATGGCCTTATCCGGAAGAGACGAGGGGAGAGGGTGGAGCTTACTTCTTCTTCTTCACCCCCGACACTGATGTTGCAATTCCGCCGCCTCTTGGCTTGTTATTGTGCTACAGCTCTATCCTTTCAACGCAGCCGGCTGTGATATAGGCCTACTGTAAACATACAGTCTAGTCATCATTACCATTTGCATAGTTACAGTTTAAATCATTTTTAGCAAAAATTCACGTTTTCCAGCTTCTCAAAAGTGACCATTGTGACAAAACAGGGGTTACAAGATCTATACATAGCTGATATTCTACATCAGTGGTGCAAACAGACCTGTACTTAATAAAATTTTATAAACCAAAATCATATGGAGTAAATATTGGGTCTTTGGTCTGGGGCAGTTGCCTCCTTTACCCAGATGATAAACCAATGAGATAAATTTCAAGTAGGGTCTTATGGTGAGGGAACCACAGTGGTTCCAGATACAGTGAATCTGAATTTGACCAAGCATTCTTAATAGTTTATCTGAGATGATGTGAACAGCTGTTGCAAAATGCTTGTTTCACTGCCGCTCTATACATTAAGATGAACATCACATCACCCTTCTTTCTTCTTTTAATAAGTGGTTCCCAACCTGGGTTATGAACACCCCAAGCGGATCCAAGATGATAACAGGTATGAGAGAGAAAACAAATATATTTTTTGTTAGACAAATCTATTTCTATTTTCTGACTTAAATAGTTTTTGATTTTTTTCTTGTGAAATACTGGATTCCTTGACCTCTTCAAACCTCTAAAAACTGAACAAAAAACAAAATAGTCTGAAAAGGAAATATCAAGCTTTGATTGAAATGCTCACAAATTACAAACAACTACAAACTATGTCCACACTAAAGCTACAGTCTTAGTGTGAATGTGTGAAGGGCATTAGATACACTTCATTTTAATGCTTTAAACAGGAGCAAAATATATCATATCTAAATATTAATATTGATCTGCATATGGACGCATCAATCAATCCACTTGGTTCCTTTACCTAGCCTACAAACAACATAAGGCAAGTAGCCTATGTTGTTCCCAGGATATGCTTATAAATATTAAATGTGGCTGATATGTTTGTTTGTTTGTTTGTTTTTATTTTAAACAACCCAGCAAACAGGTAACCCTCGGGAAACGTTCCATAAAAGTTCTCCAGAGGTTTTGAGGAACCTTCAGAGAACCTTAAGGAACTCTAAGTTCTCTGAACGTCCCCTTAAGGTTGCAAAAACTTAACCTACAGAGGGTTTCATTTTACAAAGCTTAAATTCTACGATAGAATTCCTTGATTGACAAACACAAATAATTATGTTGCACTACGCTACATCATTTTCACTTGTGACACACTTCTCCCTGTCTTGGAGGTTGTCCTGGCTGGGAAACTGTAAGCGGCTGCTCGGTCACCTGGATGACTGAATGACCCAGATGAACGCCACGAACTACCACTGCCAGCATCAATACCAACACCAGTTCTCCTCCACTCATTAGGCCAGTCAATGGTGCAGATCCCCAGTGCGTCCCCGCAGGTCTTGTTCGTGAACGCAGCTGATGTAGTTCACGACGACCCCTCACAAAAAATATTATGGCCCATGTACTCACTCTGTTTCCCTTCCAACAGCTGACATCCTCTCTGCATCATTTCCTCTTGGTTTGCAAATTCAACGCCTCCACCGCTCATGCAACTCATCCATGCTGATTTTCATACCCCATTGTTCATTTGTGTTGCTGTCAGTGTTAATAAATTGCATTTAAGGGCATCTCTTGCATGGACTCCCTCCAATCCGCAGTCCGAGTCAATTTGTAACACACTGTATGTCATAACATAACATCCTCAATATTACATCGTGTGTATTATATGATTTATTGCGTGGTATTAATAAGTTATGACGAACAATCATACGTTTATAAAATCGTCTGTTCTTACATGCCATACAGCATGCAAAGTGAACTGTAGCAGATAGTGATTCATTTGTTAAAGTTACACTGTATTAATGCAATATTATCAAAATATAAACTGTATACATAAAGCAGGTCCATAATCTGTGTAAAAACAAAATGTGTAATGGAACAGTATTACACAAACTGTTACCATTAAAATGTCTAGTTTTGTAGGTACCTGATTAAATACATGTATTAGAGGTGCTGCGGCTGTAAACCCGTTTCTGGAGCGCAGACGTGCTGTGTGACGTGGCACGGGAGGCGGAAGAGCTTGTTTGTGTTTTGGTTCTAAGGGGAAGTTGCGAGAAGAAAGAAAGGAGGAGACGTGACGGGATTGTTGAAATTTTCTTGGTTTCCCCAGCACCACCTCAGCACAGTGTCCCGGGTACCTTCTGTAAATACTACGGCGGCGGTATTTAAAGTTCAAAACATCGTCTGGCTCTCAGGTAGCGTACTTGGCATGAATCGACAAGTTGTGGTTTCCAGCTGGTGGACTGGCTAACGCTAACGTTTGCTCAGTTGTCATCGGGGACTAACGTTAGCTAGCGCTGTCGCTAGCGGTCTCTGGCTAATGTCGGTGATGTTTCATAGCCAAGAGAATACAGAAATACAGGCCTTTGTCACGTCTTAACGAGTACAACTCTTCCTCGTCTGTCTCGAAGCGTTGCCATTAGCAAGTGGCAAGCAATGTCTGGTATAGCAAATAGTATGCCTGGCTCATAGTTGACTTTGTGATAGCTAACAGCTAGATGGGTGGACTCAGGTCAGTGGGTGGAATGCTAACAGTGCTACGATGCTAACGTTAGTGTTTGTTAATTGAGGGTTGGGTACTCCCCATTAAATAACGTTAAACAGCCAGCACAACATTTCAGTTTGATAAAGCTGTCTACGACAGTATAACGACTAGCTTATTGACCCATCGCATTCCCTTTAGTTTTATTTGGCTGAGCCTGTCGTTTTAGGTGCTGTCCATAAAGTGGTTAGGAGGCTGCTTGGAAAGCTAAGGTTGGCTAACTGCATGTTAGCTAACTAGCTAGACAACAAATACAGTTTGGAAAATGGCGTCCCCCTCTTAAATCAAAAGAGATACAAAGCTACAGCTGACATGAGCAAGTGTGTTTACAGTCAACGAACGACAGATAAACCCAAACACTGTGCGAGCATTGCAGACATGCACTGCGTAGTGTTTGTTGACAGTCCCTGTCATGAGTCTTCAACGCAGTTACTGTTTTGTCGCTACAATTTCTCATGTGCATTTGTTTTCTTCTTGCTCGCTCACGTTTGAAAGATTTCTTGCCAAAATTTCTTGGTTAATATAAAGGATAAATGTTTGCCCTAAACACCTTGGTAACGACCTCACCAATCCCTTTCATGGGCTTTGCGTCCCAAAGCACTGTATTTAAAAGGACTGTTATTTTCCGTCCCCGGATTTGATAAGTGCATGGGTTCTTTTGTAAGATGGATCCCTCCTTGTTTTGTTATTCATTCAGCAGTCTTGCCATCGTTACAAAGGTTAATGGTTTACGCAGATGTGAATTATCTAAACATGAACTGAGGTTGTTGTTATATTAAAGAAATTTGCTTAGTTGATATGATGATGTGATGTGTTGATGACTAAAGCCAGCATTTGACAGACTGACACAGCATCACAGGTGATTAGACTTGTCTTTGCAGTCTTATTCTGAACATAAATTACTTTTGTCCACTCAATATTATAACAGTTAAATATAACAAAATAGGTACCCCAACATTTTGATACATTTTCATGCAAAAGCTTTAAAATGTGTCAGTAGTGGATGGCCTTATGTACACCTCACAAGAGTCATCAACTCCTCTCATATAACAATATCAGAAAAGTGTGACTAATATGCTACACAAAGGTAGCTTTTTTTGCAGAGCCATTGTATACAATTGCATTAGAGAGCAGATATGAGTGTGACAAGTTATCTGTATTTCTGTCAATAGATGTGAGATATCTTCTGGATACGGGAGTGTGGGGTGCACATTGAAAGGCATTGTCATGTTAGTGGTCCGGAATAAGATTTCACAAAACATGCAATTAGGACAAAGTCTTCCTGAAAAATCAGACACAGGCTGTGATTATCTCCTGACAACAGCCATCTGTTGTATACAAATTAGTCAGCAGTTCATTCCTAAATAAGTTAGTAAGCAATGCATGGTATGTATCCATAAAGAGGTTCTCGCAGCTTTAAGTATTGCTTGAGTAATGTGGGCGAGTGAAACCCTTGTGAAAACTCCTGAAACTGTTGTGGTTCTTGACAACTGGTACTGTATGTGGTTGTGGTGGGCTTTCTATGTCTCTTTGATAATGTAATTTATAAAGGCATTGTTAGCAAGACATGCCTACTTTTAATTAGTGAGTGTGGAAGTGTGGCCTCTGCAAAACACGTGCAGATGAGAAATGCATTACTTTCAGACTGCTTGCTCTGTTTTGAATGGATGTCATTGGCTCTGTCAGTCACTGTCAGTCTAACAAGACAATTAAAATTTATTAGTAACAGAATGGAGAGCATATCTAACTATAGTGAAGGTGCTGTCTTATGACAATGTCAAAAATAAGAAGGTGCATAGAGCCTCCATATTTTATTACTTTAATATATCAGCCCGTTTAGCCATCTAGCTCCAGTTTGTATGAATTGTATATCTTATTTTAAATGATTCTTCAGTCATTTGTTCTTGGTGATCAAGAGTTCTGATTTTGTTACACAATTTTATTCTAAATAAGTGATGAATACTTGCCCTTCTTACATGTCAAATTACATGTGTATATGATTTAACTATTCTCCTCTTGTTTAATCTTGTTTAAACTGCATCAATTAGCCCTTCTGGCTAATGTTTGCGTCCACTCCTCCCAATATTCTTCCGAATTCTAGGAATGCCCCATATTACATGTGCATTAAGATCGGCCCGTTAAAAAAGGTCACAGCCCAGTTCTGTTCTTTGTACAATAAGGGTAATGAAGTCAGTTTGTTTACACCAAAGAATTTCAGTCTTGCTACTTTTTTTCCAGTGTTAAAAGTTGCTTTTTATGCATCTTATATCCCTGACCTTTAGGCAAATCAGTTCCCAAATCTCTAATTCTCTTTAAATATTATCTGTAACTTAAAACCACCATTCGTTGCTCACACAAAATAATTACTGTCAGTAGGTTTTATTTTTTCCACTTTTTGCACCAAGTTGTCTGACACAAGTGTGTCATTGGAAACCGAATATTTTCTTCTATTTTGAGCCCTGTAGAGTCCCTCATATCAAAACAAAGAAAAAAATCAGTTTATTTCAGTAACTGTTGATAGCTCTAAAACAAAATGTAGACATTTGCCCAACACTTTTGTCAGTGTTTTTGGAAAATTTTATTGTAACATGAAATGCTGGGGCTTATTTAACTAATCTTAAGTGGATATGTTTTGTTATATTTATTCTGCGCTGTGATGCTCCTCAGTGTTAACTACATGCTTATTACTTTGTGACTGTCAGTAAACCTATTTCTTCTTTTGGTTCTTGCAGCAGAAGTCCTGATAGTGAGGTTGAGCACACAGGACACCGGGGGATCTGACTAGGTCATGGCCAATCGGGGAGGAGCTACGAGACCCAATGGACCCAATGCAGGGAACAAGATCTGTCAGTTTAAGCTGGTGCTGTTGGGGGAGTCAGCTGTTGGAAAGTCCAGCTTAGTGCTTCGCTTCGTCAAGGGCCAGTTCCATGAATTCCAGGAGAGCACAATTGGAGGTGAGCTTTATGTCAAGAGGCCAGGCCATTTCAGTTATCAATTAAATAAAATTAAATTCAAAATAAGAAGTATTGGGAGAAATTAGCCATTTTTATTTTTGTTGTCAGAATCATTACTACAGTCGTGAACTGTAACTCAGTTTTCCAATTCAAGTAAAATTCAATCCTACAATGTGAGCTACAGTTTGTCTCACTTAATGGGAATTGATAATGCTCTGTGTTGATATTTTTATGACTATTTTCTATTTACATGCTGTTGTGAAGAGTATTGTTTTGATGTAGGTAATGATTATCTAATGCTGACTCACCCCTCACCTTATCCTATCTTTTCAGCGGCCTTTCTCACCCAGACAGTGTGTCTAGATGACACAACAGTGAAGTTTGAAATCTGGGACACTGCAGGTCAGGAGCGTTACCACAGTTTGGCACCTATGTACTACAGAGGAGCACAGGCTGCCATTGTGGTCTACGACATCACAAACGAGGCACGTTCATCCACCTCCCAGTTCTTTACGCAATTTTCCTAACATTGTTGTCACTTAAAGTTGTACTGATGATACTTGCCATGTATTCAGCCTGCAAGATGCAGCCAGAGTACTTGTACAACACGTTAAAGTACAGTTACTGTCACAGTTACTGATAGCATGAAGGTATTGACAAATGGCCCAATTTCTTCTATTTGCAGGAGTCCTTTGCTCGGGCAAAGAACTGGGTGAAGGAGCTGCAGAGACAAGCTAGCCCTAATATAGTCATCGCTCTGTCAGGCAACAAAGCTGACCTAGCCAACAAGAGAGCTGTTGACTTCCAGGTCAGACCAAACGAACAGTTCCTCGACAATCTGTCTTATTTTGTGCATTTCTCGGGAACATTCATCTGTTATTTCTAATGGATACCTCTGGGTTTGTTAAATGTAAAAACATCCGGAACATACAAGTTATTAGATTCATTGCCAAGACTTTCATTCTTAACATCACCTCTAATTGTCTTTCTCCTGTGCCTAAAGATTCATGGTGTTTACATTGTGTTAACAGGATGCCCAGTCCTACGCAGATGACAACAGCTTACTTTTCATGGAGACGTCGGCTAAGACATCTATGAATGTGAATGAGATATTTATGGCTATTGGTGGGTAACTCTTGATACTTTATTCACAGGTTTTGCCAGTGTATTTGTAGAGTAGTAATTGGAACCATATTGATTATTTCTACAAAGTATATATTCTGATTAACTGGATGGTTGTGATCTGGCGTCGATAATGAAAGTTTTTTTTTTTCATTTGTTACTTCTGTTCCGTACAAATGAAAAGTTGCAGTTTCTTTCTTTTTTGTTTAGTTTGGTGTGTTTTTGCGTTTCAGCAAAGAGATTGCCGAAGAGTGAGCCTCAGGCTGCAGGAGCCAACAGTGGGCGGAACCGGGGAGTGGACCTGACAGAAGCTGCCCAGCCAGCCAAGGCTCCATGCTGCAGTAACTAAAGTGATGAACGCCCTCCCTCCAACCAACCTGTATAGCAGTAACTAATGCGGCTGATGCCCTGAATGCCACTGCAGTTACTAATGCAATGTGTTGTACTCTTATCTCCAATTCTCTGATCGGCAAAACAAGAAAAGATACCCCGTGCCCACCTTTTATTTAGCAGTAGCGAAGTCAATGCCATTACACTGATCCCTCAACGTGGCTCTGCTTCTTTTCCTACATCATGGTTCTGCTGCTGCCTGGTGAAGCCTCCTAACCATTCTTTCTTACTCTGCCATCAAAATCTATTAGTTATTGCTGATAGATTAATGACAGCAGATATTAGAGAATATTAGTGCACCCCGCCTTCCATCATCTTCCTTCCAATGTGTAGATATGAGTTTCATTTATAGGAAGTGGTCACTTCCCCTTTCTGGGATAGCTTAAGACTTAACTACAGCAATTCTAAAACCAGTCTTTTGTTTTTGTTCATTTTTTTGATTATTTTGTTAATTATTTTTTGCTATAATTTTGTCAAAATCATGGATGCACATACCTGTATACATGTATGGCCTAAAATAGAAAAACAAAAAACTGTGTTTTACCTTTTGTCTGCAGTAGCACAGAAGAAAATGTGTATTAGAGAAGAGGAGTGTTTTCTTATGAATCTGAGAAAGAGGAAAGGCAGAGGGTGGTGGCAGACAGAGAGGAACTCAAAGCTTCATGCCTCTCTTTTGTAACTGGGACCCTTTTATCTGAAAGGTTAAAAACATTTGTGGACTGTAGTCCTTTTAGATTTACTTTCTCTGATTCCTTCTGCCTGTCCACTGCTATCCACGTCCTTTCCCCTCAAAACCTTAAGTAGCACTAGTGTACATTTTCTTCTACCACCCTAAGGCTCCATTCTGGGGCCATGCCTGCTTCTAGCTGTCCCTAGTGGCATTGTGCAATGTTTCACAGTATTTACTCTGTGATTTTGAGCATCTGCAAGGACCATTGCAGCACAGTGATACCCCCTGCTCTACCCAGCTTTCTCCACAACAAAGTGCAGGGGCCTCTGAGGTACACATCAGTGTCACCACCTCCCCACCTTCTGATACAGTGTCCTTTCATAATCTTGTGTAGACCACCCTTTGGTGGTTATATTAGGGTCTATTGGGTTTCTGCCTTTGGATGATTTAGTTAATGCAGATTTTCCATTGTGCTAATGACGCTGGACCGCTGCTGGGTTTGCACATGGTAAAAAGCAAAGGTGATGTTAGTAAGTGGGGAGTTGCAATATGTAAGGTTGCTTCATGATCACCTTTGAATCATAATTATTTGCCATCTTCTCTTGATTAGGAAGTGCTTTAGACACAGTCATGTGTCAGTGTGTACAAACTGGGCCTGGGCTGTTCTGGCTGGTGACAAATTTCATCCATAGACTCACTCACACGTGCCCGTTAATGTGTGTGTATGTTTGAACACACATTTGCACATAAACACACACATTATATTGACTTCTTTCCTCTGAACCCACTCAGACCTAAACAGCATTGTACATAAGCACACACACATAGTCTGTTACACCACTCCGTCACCTATGTTGGCCACATATGTCCCCCCCCATCCCCCCCTCCCCAATACATTTTTATATACAGACACATGCAAGCGCACGCACACACACACACACACACACACACACACACACACACACACACACACACACACACACATTCATACACATTCATACAGTACATGTGGTTAATAACTTTTTTTTACAGGTCTGTCTTACTCATGCCTTGCACTAATGATGCTCATGAATATATCTTGTCATAATTACAGCCAGTGTGATATAAATATATATAAATATATATATAAAAATATAAATATATAAATAATATACTGTAAATAGGGTGTTGCAGTGTAGTCTACTTTTTTTCGATTTACCAGTGACAGGACTAATGCTTGCTAGGGAGCTGTCTAGATAATCATAAAAAAAAACTGTACAGTTAGCAGAAAAAACAGCTACAATCTGGGTTTGGAGTTTTGTTGCTGTTCCTTTTTTCACACAAATGGTTAAATTATAATCAGTGGTGGTCTTTATAAATGTATGTAGTGTTATTAACAAAAAATAAGAAATTGCATTTATTTAGTCGTCTGTCTTGTACCTTTTTCTCAGAAGAAAAACGTAATATCCAAATATTTTGGTTTCTATTTTTTAACATTATCTCTTTATTGGAGTTCACTAATTCTTTTTTAGTGGTATCAGGCTACGATATGCCTTGTCCAGTTCTCTTCCCTGTAAGTAGACCTGAACCTCCAGAGGCACTGGTTGTAAAAGCTCCAGAGGAGTCAGACACAATACAAAATAGTTTGATTAACCAACTGTCTGCCCCTCCATAACATCTCAGTAACATTGTGACAATATTGTAGCAACAGTGTAACAACTATCAGCTGGCACGATGGTGATTCATGAATAAATGAATTAACACATAATAGGGATGTAAATTGTATGTTTTTTGCCATGAACACTTAATTGCAGCCGAAAACATTTAAAAGATGCAAGCATTTTACAGTACTGTTATGTAATGACCAAATAAATACTGAAATAAATTTGATCATTTATTATTGTAATCAGGCTGTGTGTATGTGTGTGTGTGCATGGACTTGGTGACATTTTCTTAAGGGCTTTTCACAGACAGTAATTTAAAAAAAAAAATCTTTAAACTGTCTTATTGTCATGTTTCGTCTCCTACAGTTATGAAAAAAAAGAAAAAATCCAAAAATCCTGGTGGTAATATTTGTCTAAATTTGATGAGATGCCATGTGTGCTTTCCTTTGTCACGTTAATATGAATATAGTCTATAAAGTATTGTTATTGTATGTGGTTATTGTTATTATTTCCAGTAATTCCCCCGTGTTGCATGAAATGACCACGATCCACCAGTCACTATTTGCTCAGATACGGCTCCGCAAGCCACATTTTCCATTACATTTGACCTTGAAATTTTGCTATAAATGGTTGCATTTTGTGACCTCTCCTCTCTGAATTGTAGTGGAATTGGCCTATCCCATCTGAGTCCCCTAGCGGAGGAAAATGGGCCTACAGTAAGAAATTGAAAATAAGGATGAGCGCCATGTCTGATCCTCCGCTTGTGGAATAGAGCGGACGGCAGAGCGAATATTTGCCGGGCCGGGGGTCCCGTCGGGGTTCGGTGCGAATTATGGCCGACAGCGCTGGGATTCAGCAAGGTTCGCCGGCCATTGGAGCTGCGGGCTTGGTTCCGGCCGCTCCTGGAGCCGGAGGGACGGAGGGCTCTGGCGCCGCTGGAGGATCCGCACGTATCGCCGTGAAGAAGGCGCAACTCCGCTCCTCACCTCGGCCGAAGAAACTGGAAAAACTCGGAGTGTATTCATCCTGCAAAGTATGCTATATTTGCAAATAGCCGATTTTTTAAATACTGCGGGTTGAGGGCTTATTTTAATGAAGCCTGTGCGCGGTTGCAAGAGTTTACAAAATGCAAGCGCAGCAAAGGAAGCCATTGCCGCACTTCGGTTTTTTTTTTTCATTTTGCATGCACGAACCAATTATTGAAAAAGCGATATTAAAAATCGAGTCGGTCAAAGCGTTATTTTTACTAGAGGACTTTTAAGCAGGGGGCTTGCAGCTGCATACTGTCCGCTGTTTTTACAATGTTACTATGTTTCTGTCAAGGTGGGGGGTTGGTGAACGTAAACATTGGCTTGGCGCTGGAGCTTGGGAGTAGCTGTGTTGTGAGCACAAGGGCTGCATCCCAGAGTGTGTGTGCGAGCGCGGTCTCATGCTCTCCGCAGGAAATTTCACAGTGTTCCCGTGCCGTGTGTCAACGCATGGTGGTGAACGGATAGCATTTTATTGGGTTTATGCAGCGTATGATCCGCAGAAAGAGACGGGGTCTTTGTTTTGACAGGGTGACAGCTGCTGGGAGGGGGGGCGGAGTTTGTTGTTGTTTCACAGCGCATGCTCAGTGCAGCACCTCCAGCTGATGGTGACAGGCCTCCTCGCCCCGCCTCCTGATACTGAACAAAGTCAGTCATAACAGATCTCCATTGACATGAGAGATTTTACTATGTTTGTACACTGCTGTGGCCCGCTTACAATAAAATACTACCTAGTAATACTTACTATAAAAATATTAAATACCAGCTGGGCACTGTTTACCTTTTAGGCCCTAGTGTGATAAATTAAAAAGCAGATAAACCACGAAAGTGACCATTTAACTTAAAAGAGCAAACATTTCACTTTCAGAAAACATTGTTTTACTTTAAAGATCAGTATAACCCGTATCAGTTTATTGCTACTCACTATAACAGTTTAGTATGAATCTATTTTCATTTAACCTAAGGTTGATCTATACTTGCGTTTGTTCCTGCTTGTACTAATTTAAACTGTGCTTTTGCTAGGCTGAGGGAGCTTGTAAGTGTAATGGCTGGAAAAGTCAGAACCCCCCTCCTACACCACCACGAACCGACCAGCAGTCCAGCACAGTCAACTTGCAGGAGCCCTGTCGGAGCTGCTCCCACACTTTGGGTATGTCAGCATGTCTTGGAAAGAAGCCACAGAAGAAAATAATAGCAGCGTGTTGAGAGTTTGAGGTTTTTGAAGTGCTCCCGATGAATGAATAAACTCTTGTGTTGCATATCTCCCAGGTGATCATGTGACCCATCTAGAAAATGTTTCGGAGGAGGAAATGAACAGACTTCTAGGTATTGTCTTGGATGTAGAGTATCTCTACACGTGTGTTCACAAAGAGGAGGATGCTGACACTAAGCAGGTCTACTTTTCCCTTTTCAAAGTAAGCCACTTGCTTTTACAATCAAAATATACCAACACTGGATTTTCTAACCTGCATTGTGTACAAGTAAACATACATACTCCTCTCCTGTTTCTCTTTCAGCTGCTGAGGAAATCTATTCTACAGATGGGTAAGCCAATGTTAGAAGCACAGGAGAGTCCTCCATTTGAAAAACCCAGCATTGAGCAGGTGATTACATGTCTACATGTGTATTAAAACCAACAATTAATCACAAAAAAACAGTGTTTCAATTTTATTCTTTCTTTCCCTATGTTTCCCAAATAGGGGGTGAACAATTTTGTCCAGTACAAATTCAGCCACCTTCCATCTAAAGAACGTCAAACAATCATGGAACTCGCTAAGATGTTCCTCAACCAGATCAACTACTGGCAGCTGGAGACGCCCTCCCAGAGGCGCCAGAGGGTGCCCACCGATGACGCAGCTGGATACAAAGCCAACTACACCAGGTAGCAGCACGAGCACATATCCTGTCAACACGCATTACACCTGTTTACAGTCACAGTCATATAGTCATATAGTCATGCTGTTGTGTACCCACTACAGATGGCTCTGCTACTGCAATGTGCCTCAGTTCTGCGACAGTCTACCCCGGTACGAGACCACTCAGATCTTCGGCCGGACTCTGTTGCGTTCGGTTTTCACTGTGATGAGGAAACAACTGCTGGAGCAGGCCAGACAGGAGAAGGATAAGCTGCCACCTGAGAAACGCACACTGATTCTCACACACTTTCCCAAGTAAGAAAAACAAACATAACGAAACTCTGGGATTGTGCACAGATATATATATTTATATATAGAATATACACTGACGCATAATTAACCACAATCACTCACTCATACACTGCACGCGCATTCTTAGTAATATTCATAGTAAAGTTGTGCCTGTTGTGTTTTCTTTGGCTCAGGTTCTTGTCTATGCTAGAGGAGGAGGTGTACAGCCACAGCTCTCCAATCTGGAGCCAAGACTTCTTGGCAGGAGCGTCGGGAGGGCAGATTCCTATTCACACAGGTAACACACACCCTCACAGGCTTAACAGAAACACACACCCAAACAGACGCACCACTGAAGCACAGCCCTGATTTTTGAATCCTTTTTGGACAATGTGAGAAATGGAATAACAACATGTTCTCATACTGTTCTTGTCCTCCCTGTTGCTCTACAGTTATCAGTGCGCCCCCTGTGGCCAGGCCATTGTACTACAGCACCAGCCCCGTGTCAGTGGACCCATCCACCTGCGGCAGTGTCAGTCCAGCCAGGAAAACAGCGTCTGTGTTGGAGCCAAACCCAGGTGTTACAGTCAAACCTGAAATTACTAAATTACTAAATTGTAACTCATAAAGTTATAATGATGCCACGTTATTGTTTAACATCTGACTCACATGTGACAGGAAACAGTGAGCACCAGAGTAAAGTTAGCCTTGTGTCACACACACTTTTAAACCATGTTTATGTGTTTTTTGGGACTGGCACATGGCTCTCACTAGCAAACAAATAAAATGTCACAAAAATGCCTCAAAGAAATCTTGTTTGACATAGAATCTCCAAAAAGTGCAACTACCACATTTCTCCAAAACCTTAGCTGAATGTTGGCCCTAAAGCTGTAGCATGAAAGTGAAATACAGCCCAGAACTGCTCCTAACATAATGAAAGTAAGTCATCATGCATAGGCAACAAGCGGAGACGAATCAATAGTAAGCAGATCTTAAATGCTGGTTAACTTCCTGTTTGCATTTGGTTACACTTCACTCCTCCGCTGGTGAGTAGACATGACATGGTGATGAGTACCTTCCTCTCTGTCCATA